TATAAGAGAACCTTTAACATAGGTCGTAGGTGGTTGATGTAAATTACGAATAGCAGGGGGCCCAGTAGTGATCCCCAAGGAACATCACTAAGTACTGGATGGAGAGTTATGAGCTCCGTGTTCACTCTCACTTGAAGATTGCGACCGATTAAATAATCTTTCAACCATCTAAGCAAGCTTCCGGTGGTCACAATCAGCCAGTCTTTTGGGCAAATCATGACGCGGCACTTTGTCGAAAGCCTTGGATAGTTGTAAGAAGACGGTGTCTACGCTGTGACCCACTCGGCTGTTTCAGTCCGGTCATCAGTGACAAGTAGTAACCATGTTACTCAGGGTTTAAAAAATCGGTTCATTTCAGTAGTCGCCCTGATTCCATTTTCGATCAACAACCCCATTCTCCATATATTTTACACCTTTGTACCTAGGTCGCGCGCATTGTGAATCAGGGATCACCAAATTTCGTTTCACTGTGCGGATGTGATGATAATGGAACCACCGTCGTCTTTGATCTAACTGGCTAGAAATACGATGGGGTTACAAACCTTTTATTTAGATTGTGTGCTTTGCAAGAAAGTTTGCATTACAAATTTCAACGTCATCTCTCCCGCTTCTGTGGTTCACTTTGATGGTGGCCAATATTGCAATGATTTTCCGATCATCGAGTCTATTGGACTATGACTTAACTTGAATTTAGCTATTTGATTGGCGAAACATTTTTTCACTTGTCAACGGATGATGTGAACGAGCAACTGAGTGCCAATAAAGAAACACTTAAGTTGCGAATGATCGAGTTGGAGGAATTGATTTCGAACAGCAAGGCACAAATGCATACATTAAAGAAAGAGCTGTATGCGAAATTCGGGAATCACATAAACCTTGAGGAAGATTGATTTTTCTCCAATCTGCATGTTTGTTCAATTATTATTCCAATGTGACTGACCATCAACTTCTGTACAATACACAGTTTGGAACAATGAGGGAAATAAATTGAGCTGTTGTATTTTTACTTTGCTTTTCCATCTTACTTTCCATCCCTTGTCACCAATCCTCTAACCGTTTACAACAAACCAGTTAACACGAATAGCGTCGTGTGTGGTCTTGGGTAACTAGCAAACACGTAGTCTTTTCTAGCTGGAACCTTGCTAGGATCATTTTAGGTTGCAACGTTTTAACCTGATTATTTGATCTATTTGACTTGCATACACTGACGTGAGTCTCTGATACACCTCAGGAGAATCCAGCTTTGTAGGTTTTCTTACATACCGTGTAATTGAATCGTTCTGGTAGACCGGATAAGACATCCCCTTTGGAGCGTATCATCTTTCAACAATTTTGAAGCTGGTTTCAGTCTTCTGAGACTCATTCTGTCTGTGACGAAGCTTTCTTGTCACAAACCGTCTCGTTTTTTCAATGTTTTGAAGCTGTAACGAATCGGTCTGCCACCCAGTCTCAAAGAGACTGATTTTGTCGATTCTATTTCCTGTGCCTAGGTTTATGGCCAGTGACTTCTGATAAGACTCGGGGCGTATCATATTCATAAGCTGCGTACGGGAACAGTAACACCCGATTTTGATGCCAGCTCCTTAGAAGGGTTAAGTAGGTGACCTATTTTCAGCCTGCTACTAAACACAAACTCTTAATTGGAGTTTGAACTAGATGAACGATTAACGTTTTAAATAACCTTGTTTTGAAAGCGTCAAAGTGTTTCTGTCTTGGGTGTCTACCGTAAAGCGACTTGACATAGAAAGTGATGTACATTTCGAAAGTTTCTTATCGAAGGTTAATTTAAGGGGACTGGTTAGAGCCCTTTCGACAAGACAGGATTGCTAGCGACAAAATTAAAGTGAATAAAAGTATCACCTTAACAGCCTACATCTCACTGTTATGCGAAGGTGTATATATATATATATATATATATATATTTATAACACCGGCTTGAGAACAAGCTTGGTGCCAACGCCATAACAATATTAACAATAACAATAACGCGCGGTGCGGATGGGTGAGGGGTTTCAGTTCAGTTTGAACAACCATTAACCATGCACTTTCGTGCGCCGGTTTTGGTTGCT